GTTGTTGTGCTGCCGTGAGTCCCCGTGTCTGTCTGTCTGTCCGTCCCTGTGTCTCGGTCCCGCTGTCTGTGTGTGTGCCAGCGCGTGTGCCCGTGCGTGCGTCTCCGTGTCAGCGTGTCTGTGTGTGTCTGGCCGTGTCCGTGCGTCTGCCCGTGCAGCAAAACCCCCCCGTCCGACCCCCCCTCAACCTCTGTGGGGCTGGGAGTTGCTGTGGGTGAGTGAGGGGCTGGATGAGGGAGCCGGGGGGGGGGGCCGGGGATCCCCCCCAGCCCGATGCCTGCAGTGCAGATCATAAATCAGCGGCGGCTGGAGCGGGCTCGGGGGGGCCGTGGGGCTCCCTGGCACCCAGGGCTCCTGGGCAACGAGCCACGGGGCTCCTCAGCCTCCTGAGACCCCCGCCAGCCCCCCAGGGTCGCTCCTTTCCCCCCCTTTGTCCCCCTTGTCCCCGCTGTGACGTTGGAGGCCAGCAGCCAGCCGGGGCTGGCAGCCAGCCCACGCTGCCAGGGCTGCGGGCACGGCGGCCTCCCTGCCCGCTGGCTCCAGGGGGGTGATGGGGATGGTGTCCCCCCCTTCAATGCCACCCCTGTGACTGTACCCAGGGGTGACCAGCACCCTGACCATTTTTTGCAGGTGACACCCCCCCTTCGCTTGCCACCGGTGCCGTGCTGGGGAGCCACCGAGGAGATAGGCCGAGCGGCGGGACAGGAGGAGGAAGAGGAGGAGGAGGGGGGGTGCCTTGGGGACAGCACCGTGGTTGTGTGTCCCCAGCAGCCACCAGCCACCAGGGGGGGGTGGATCCCAGTGGCTTTTTGGAGCCGGAGCCCTGCCAGGAGAGGAGGAAGGGCCGAGGAAGACGTGCCGGGTGATGGATGGTCCCAGCCTGGCACCGCAGCCCCGGGAGAGCGGCACCGGGCGGCTCGGGGACCTCGGGGACCTGGTTGGCAGCGCCCGCCTCTGCAGAGCCCCGCAGCGTCTGCTCCGCTGAGCTCCGGAGCCAGGAGGAGGATTGGGAGAGGTTCCCGGTGAGCCCGGTGTCCCCGTGGTGGGGCACGGTGTGGGGCTGAGCCACTGTCCCCCCCCCCGGCATGGCACGGCAGGGCTCAGGGGCCATGCTGGCCTCTGGTGGCCTGGGCTTCCCCCCCCAGAACCTGGCCCGCGTGGTGGTCTGGGAGTGGCTGAACGAGCACGGGCGCTGGAGGCCCTACTCGGCCGCCGTTTGCCACCACATCGAGAACGTGCTGAAGGAGGACGCCCGCGGCAGCGTGGTGCTGGGCCAGGTCGACGTCCAGCTGGCACCCTACATCATCGACCTCCAGTCCATGCACCAGTTCCGGCAGGACACCGGTAAGGGGCTGGCGTCGAGCCGGGAACATCCAGCCACCCATCCATCCTTCCATCCCTTCACCCTTCCATACCTCCACCCATCCCTCCCTCTGTCTTTCCATCATAAAATCATGGAATCATGGAACGGTTTGGGTTAGAAGGGACATTAAAAACCATCCAGTTCCAACCCGGGCAGGGACCCCTCCCACCAGACCAGGTTCCTCCAAGCCCCATCCAACCTGGCCTTGAACATCCTTCCATCCACCCCAGTGTGTGTCTGTTTATCTGCCCGTTGTTCCATCCATCTGTCCATCTGTCCATTCATCCACGCATCTGTCTCATTGCATATCTGTTTGTCTGTCATTCATTCCTTCCTTCCATCCATCCATCCATCCATCCATCCATCCATCCATCCATTCATCCATCCATCCATCCATCCCAATGTATCTCCACTTACTTGTCTGTTGATTTATTCCTCCATCCATCCATCCATCCATCCATCCATCCATCCATCCATCCATCCATCCATCCCAGTGTATCTCCACTTGTCTGTTGCTTCATTCCTGCATCCATCCATCCATCTGCCTGTCCATCTGTCCTTCCATCCCATTGCACACACCCTCCTCTCCATCCATCTGTCCCTCCTGCTTGTCCTCTCGTCCCCTCTCCCTGCTGGGCTTTGTCCCCCTGTGGACACCCCACAAGGCTCTTCCTTTCCCCTTCCCCACTTTCCCCCTCCACTGCGGACCCCTACCCTGGAGAAACGTGTCCCAAAACCCTTCCATCCCCCGTGGGGTGCTGTGTCCCACTGTCACTCTGCCCACCCCTCTGCCCCACCGAACTGCTCCACCCGGGCTCTCCGAGGAACTGGGGAGGCCCCAGTTTGGGCACTGGGAGCTGTGGTGGGGCGCTGGGCTGGTTGCAGCCGTGCAGCTGTGGCGGTGGCTGCTGCGGCACACATCCAGGCCACGTGTCCTCGGGGGAAATCAAAGCCTGTCCCGTGCTGCCACCGAGCCCAGACCCCATTAAATGTGTCCCCGTCACGGCGTGACCCATTAAACCAGCACGTGCCACTGGGGACTCACCAGTTTGGCTGCTTTCCTGGCCATTCCTTCTTGCTGGCAAACATGGGGCCACCAGCACGTGCCACTGGGGACTCACCAGTTCGGCTGCTTTCCTGGCCATTCCTGCTTGCTGGCAAACATGGGACCACCAAGGGCAGGCTCTGAACCCCAGGCCATGCAGAAGAGGTGGGGGACATGTCACACACCGGGTGACACCCCCAATCTCCCCACAAACCAATGCCCCCCATGCCCGGCCGCCAGCGATGGTGAACGACCCCGGGGGTGGATGTGGCTCCAGCATAATCGGGCTGGGGACCAAGTTGGGGACCAAGCCAGGGACCTGCCACCCTGCCTTGGGCCATCAACCTGGCTCCGAGTTGGTCTCCAGCCAGTCACGGGCTTGGCAAGGGGCAACTTGGCACCCGCAGCCCTGAGTCAGCGTGGCCGCGGCCGCCGGCACGACCTAGGTCGTGCCGGCGGCCGCGGCCACGCTGACTCAGGGCTGCGGGTGCCACTGGGGACACCCTGGTTGTCCCCACGCCAGCTCCTGCCAGCTTTGGCCAGCACCCATCCTGTGACAGCAGGCACCTGGCATCACATCCCGAAGCCATGGTGCCAGGTGCCCATTGTGGGACCACGGCTGGGTTTGGGGGGTGACGTGTCTCCAGGGAGCAGGAGGTGTCTCTTCCCAGGATGTCCCCCGTGGTAGGAGGGTTTGGGGACAGGGGTGCTGAGAGAGGGGCTTTGCCATCCCCAGAGGCTGGAAACAGGGATGTCCTGGGGTGTTGACCCCATCCCGTAGACCATCCTCACCTCTGCGTGCCCCATCCCTGTGTCCACCTCCATCCATTGCCTCTGCCCTCGGATGTTGACCCCATCCCGTAGATCATCCTCACCTCTGCGTGCCCCATCCCTGTGTCCACCTCCATCCATCACCTCTGCCCTCGGATGTGGCCAGGTTTGGAGGCTGCCAGATGTCTCTGAGGTCCTGTGGTGCTCGGGGACATGATGATCACCCCGGGAGGGTGCATCCTGCCCACATCCACGTCCTGCATCCCTCTGGTTCTTGCCACTGCATCCCACATCCTGCCCGTCCTTGCAACTTCATCCCATGTCCCGCTGCCTCACTGCACCATGAGGGTGCTCCTGGTGCCCATGAGGGCATGGGGACACAGGGAAGGTGGACAGGAAGGGGGAGATCGGGGGAGATCTTGGCCCATGCCGCGCCTGGGGAGGGAGAAACCCTCCCAAAACGGTGACGGTGTGAAACGAGGTGACCCCGTTCCGAGCGGCGGGGACGCGCACCCCCTCCCCGTGGCCCTGGGGACACTGGCTCTGCCCTGCGGCAGCGGTAGAGGGGACAGGAGCTGTGTGGCTGGGGCCGCTGGTGGCCCTCGGGGACCTGGGGCTGTGTGTGTGCCCGCATGTCGGGGTGTCCTCCTTTTGTCCCCCTCTGCTGCGCGGCAGCGGGATGCGGGGTGTGGATGTGAGCGGGCAGTGGGGGGTGGGACACGGCTGTAAGGAGCAGTGGGACGCGGGACATGGATGTGAGTGGGACAAGGGATGCAGGATGTGGGATGTGGGATGGATGCAGGATGTGGGATGGATGCAGGATGCAGCTGCAGTCGGGCAACGGGACATGGGATGCAGCTGCAAGGACCAGTGGGATGCAGGATGCAGCTGGAAGGACCAGTGGGATGCGGGACATGGATGTGAGCGGGACAAGGGATGCGGGATGTGGGATGGATGCAGGATGCAGCTGCAGTCGGGCAGCGGGATGCGGGATGCAGTTGCAAGGGAAAGTGGGATGCAGGATGCAGTTACAAGCACCAGGGCAACATGGGAGGCAGCTGGAAGGACCAGTGGGATGTGGGACATGGATGTGAGCGGGATGCAGGATGCAGGATGCGGGATGCAGGATGCAGCTGCAGTTGGGCATTGGGACAAGGGATGCAGTTGCAAGGGAAAGTGGGATGCAGGATGCAGTTACAAGGATCATGGGGACATGGGATGCAGCTGGAAGGACCAGTGGGATGCGGGACATGGATGTGAGCGGGATGCGGGATGTAGGATGCAGCTGCAGTCAGGTAGTGGGACATGGGATGCAGCTGCAAGGACTGGCAGGATGCAGGATGCAGCTGCAAGGACTAGTGGGATGCGGCACATGGATGTGAGCGGGATGTGGGATGCAGGATGCAGCTGCAAGGACTGGCAGGATGGAGGATGCAGCTGCAAGGACTGGCAGGATGGAGGATGCAGCTGCAAGGACTGGCAGGATGGAGGATGCAGCTGCAAGGACTGGCAGGATGGAGGATGCAGCTGCAAGGACTGGCAGGATGGAGGATGCAGCTGCAAGGACTGGCAGGATGGAGGATGCAGCTGCAAGGACTGGCAGGATGGAGGATGCAGCTGCAAGGACTGGCAGGATGGAGGATGCAGCTGCAAGGACTGGCAGGATGGAGGATGCAGCTGCAAGGACTGGCAGGATGGAGGATGCAGCTGCAAGGACTGGCAGGATGGAGGATGCAGCTGCAAGGACTGGCAGGATGGAGGATGCAGCTGCAAGGACTGGCAGGATGGAGGATGCAGCTGCAAGGACTGGCAGGATGGAGGATGCAGCTGCAAGGACTGGCAGGATGGAGGATGCAGCTGCAAGGACTGGCAGGATGGAGGATGCAGCTGCAAGGACTGGCAGGATGGAGGATGCAGCTGCAAGGACTGGCAGGATGGAGGATGCAGCTGCAAGGACTGGCAGGATGGAGGATGCAGCTGCAAGGACGGGCAGGATGCAGGATGCAGTTACAAGGACCAGGGGGACATGGGATGCAGCTGGAAAGACCAGTGGAATGCGGGACATGGATGCGAGCGGGATGCAGGATGCGGGATGCAGGATGTGGGATGCAGGATGCAGCTGCAGTCGGGCAGTGGGACATGGGATGCAGCTGCAAGGACCAGTGGGATGCAGGACATGGATGTGAGCGGGATGTGGGAATTCGGGATGCAGCTGCAGTCGGGCAGAGGGACATGGGATGCAGTTGCAAGGGAAAGTGGGATGCAGGATGCAGTTACAAGGACCAGTGGGACATGGGATGCAGCTGGAAGTACCAGTGGGATGCGGGACATGGATGTAAGCAGGATGCGGGATGCAGGATGCGGGATGGATGCAGGATGCAGCTGCAGTCGGGCAGCGGGACATGGGATGCAGCTGCAAGGACTGGCAGGATGCGGGATGCAGCTGTAAGGACCAGTGGGATGCAGGACATGGATGTGAGCAGGATGCGGGATGCAGGATGCAGCTGCAGTCGGGCAGCGGGACAAGGGATGCAGTTGCAAAGGAAAGTGGGATGCAGGATGCAGCTAAAAGGACCAGTGGAACGTGGGACATGGACGTGAGCGGGGTGTGGGATGAAGGATGCAGTCGGGCAGCAGGACAAGGGATGCAGTTGCAAAGGAAAGCGGGATGCAGGATGCAGTTACAAGGACCAGTGGAACACAGGACATGGATGTGAGTGGGATGCGGGATGCGGGATGGATGCAGGATGCAGCTGCAGTCGGGCAGCGGGACATGGGATGCAGCTGCAAGGACCAGTGGGATGCAGAATGTGGATGTGAGCGGGATGTGGGATGCGGGATGCAGTCGGGCAGCAGGACATGGGATACAGTTGCAAGGGAAAGTGGGATGCAGGAAATGGATGTGAGTGGGATGTGGGATGCGGGATGCAGGATGCAGTCGGGCAGCGGGATGTGGGATGCAGTTGCAAGGATCAGGGGGACATGGGATGCAGCTGGAAGGAGCATTGGGATGCGGGACATGGATGTGAGCGGGATGTGGGATGCGGGATGCAGCTGCAGTCGGGCAGCAGGACATGGGATGCAGCTGCAAGGACTGCCAGGATGCGGGATGCAGCTGCAAGGACCAGTGGGATGCGGGATGTGGATGTGAGTGGGATGCAGGAT